TTCTATTCCTTTTAATTTCAGAGTTCTTCCACCACTGAATCAATTGGTATTTTACTCTTTTTGATATTGTTTCGGCTTTCTGTTGTTGCATGAAAATTAACTAGAAGAAAATTCTGATATATTTTCGTTCCTTGTTTGTAACAGATGAAGGGAAATTCAGGATTGGAAGATGCATTAGAGAAGGGAACAAGCAGAATATGAAGCTGTTTGGGCAGCTTCGCGATCCAACACTATTAAAGTCCTTAGCTGCTTCTACACCTGAAAATCCCGAGGTTGTTTCCTCGGGGAAAACACTCCAACGCTCAAGTCAGTAATACTCAATATTTTAGAGAGAGATGCTCTCAAGGAGTAATTGCGGAGAGAGAAGCGTAGGGGTTAATTACCTTCATTGGAGGTAGTTGGGGGGTATTTATAGCCCCAAGTGCTGACATGCATTTGTACATGTAAGCATCTGTACATGTAAGCATCTCATTGACCCACGTGGTGCTGGTCATGTGGGTATGCTTGCCTTAGTGTTCCCTCAACTTGGGTTAGTGGGCGGTAGCCTAGGCCTGTTATGCACAGCCCTGTTTGGATGTTGGACCTATGTTGGGCCTATTCCAACATTGCTCCCCCCCCCGGTGTTCGGTTGACGAACTGGGCTGAGAGTGTCGTTGGCGAGCACGGTGTTCGACCTTGAGGATGAAGAGGGATGTTTTGTGTTCATGATCGACCTCACACACGAACGGCTTGGGCGGCTTGAAGACGTCGCGCACAGAAGAATGTGCAGGTGAATGCCGGATTCATGCCGAGCAGGCACGAGGAGCTGAGGTTTAAACCAGTCGAGCTCGATGCTAATCAGCGAGCCGAGCAAGCGTACAAGGGCGACTGTGCATAATGAATTCTCTGCATGGAGCAGAGTCGAGCAGACAGAGAGAACGAGCTGAACCAACAACCCAAGACGAGCTGAAATGAGCGACCTCTGGCTATTTCAAGAAGTTGGTTACAACTTAACGTTCGATGCTCACAACCAGGGTGAACCTTAGATTTGTTACAACCTGGACTCTAAAGACTTATCGAGTTGGGAACTTCTGAAGAGATCTCGGATTAGGAACGAGTTGATTTTTTGAGATTCTCAAATTTCGAATTACGGCAGATCTGGGTAAATCCCGAATTTGCTACGAGCTGATCCCTGAGATTATGCACGAGCTGATCCCTGAGATTTTGCACGAGCTGGTCCTTGAGATTTTTCGAAATTTGAATTATGGCAAATCTCTGAAAAGATTTGCTCAGGGCGTTTAGTATTCTTTTACCAACTGCAGATACCCTTTTGCCTCCCCGCAATAAATGCTGGCTCAGCATTTGAGGGGACGTGACAGTTATAGAAGGCGCGTTTTGGGTTCTTACCCTTAAATGGCTGCCACGTGGAGGTGTTTAACTGGAGGGCCATAAACACGCGTAAACACCATTTGAAGGGCCAAAAGTAAAGAAACAGTTAACCATTTTTCGTTCCATTGCACAATACGTTCGTACGTTTTTTAGAGAAGGTTGTAGAGACACTTCAGGCTATTTTTCCAACACTTCAAGGGGAAGAACATCCAGCTTCAACAACTCAGGTAAAATGGCTTCTTTTCACAATGCACGAGGGTTCCGAGGTAACCAAGGTGAAGATGAAGACGTTGATGTGATATCAATGGAGCCTATCACCATGATAGTGCCACTGGAGTTGCAAGACTCGCCCAGAACGGCCACGTCGGAGCGTAGCACTAGTTTGAGCGCAAGTGGGGTCCAGACGACCATCGGCCTTCAACGTCTAACGATTCGTCCACGGATGGGACACCCAGTGAAGCGGAAGGTGCTGAAGAGGTTGGATGCAGTGCACCAGTGGCAAGTGTAGCAGCGGAGGTGGTGGTGTTCGAAGGGTGGGAAGGTAAGGTTCTCAGTGGAAGGCTGGACAACCTTCATAAAGCCCCCAAAACTCTATTGGTCGGCTTCAAGTTCAGGGCGGTGCTGCATCATAAGGTTGCAGATGGTGCGGCCACAGTGAAGGGGTATAAGAAGCTGGAGGAGATGGTGAGGCGATTCCAGATCCCCAGAACCATCCTGATCCGAGCTGGGACGCCAAACGAACGGGCGTGTTCAGTGTCGCGGATGGGCTGGGTGCCAGTATACATAGACCATTTTGACATCAGTCTACGTTTTCCTCTGCCCGGACTAATTTTTGATGTCCTGGTAGAGTACGAGCTGGCCCTTTCGCAGCTTACACCCAACAGCATAAAGTTTATCATAGGCTTTATGCTGTTGTGCGAAAGGTTGGGGTTACCTGCTAAGGCGGTGGTCTTCAGGTCGCTCTTCCTATGCCGTTTGTGCCCGTCCACTAGTGGAACGAGATGGTACTACATCTCTGGGAGAGAGAAGATGATGATTTTCACCAATATAAGGAACAAAGTGGCGAGATGGAAGAGACAGTTCGTCTTCGTTCGGGACACACGAACTGAACGAATCAGTAACGAGCTTGCCGCCCGTCTGTCAGAGTGGCGCACGCCCAATACCTATATGAACTACCCACTGCTGACAGTTGGTGATGTCGACCTGAAGAACCGGCTGCTAGATTACGTGAAGGCGAGGGGGTTGGTGGATTTGGAAGCCTAGGTTACCCCGGAGCAGATCGCACTTCTTGGGTTTGTCGACGTGGCAAACCTACACTCTCAAGGTATATTTTTATGGTATAGTATAATTTCTAGCCGATCTGAGTCTTATGCCCTTGTTTGTGCAGGAGAAATGAGCAGCATCCTTGAGAGGCAACGCCAACAAGCATAAGGCTCGAGGAACCGGGGAGCTGGGTCCGGTTCCCAATGTCAGTCGCGCTTTGACGAGCGGCCGCCTGCTGCATTGGTACGCAACTCACAGCGCCGGAGTTCCAGCTCGGCACAAAGGTCGCGTGCCGAGCAAAGAGTTGAGCCTGCGCCCTTCAGCTCCAGAAGGCATACAAGGGAAGACTCTGACGCTGATGCAAGGATAACATTTCGCTCATCCGGTGTAGGATGAACACCGGCTCGGAGCCTGCCCCAGGCACTGTTACGCGACCTGCTAGCATGCCCCAAGCGCTAGCTCGCGAGATTGCTGAGGCCGCACCAGCCTCGTCGTCTGTGGCTGGGCCAAGGATTGCATACCCAAACGGCTTCAGTTACGCTCGGACTGAGTGCCAAGCCGCCATGCTGCAGGGTATGCAGAACTTTGTGCCCCCTGCAGACCGGCTGCATGTGAAGGGGCATGTTCAGCAGTATGAAGGACATGCTGCTTTAATAAAGCTGATGGATGTAAGTATACTTAACGAGCTCGTTGTTCCGCCTTATTATTTTGCACTAGCAACTGATGAGTTAACATGTATTACAGGCGTTCAGCTACACTGTCGCACTCTTTGAGTGCGAACAAGGAGCGAGGACACAGAATAATGAGCTCCAACAGAACTGCAAACAACTGGCCTCTAAAAAGGCCAGTTTGACTGATGAGGTCGGTCGTTTGCATAGCTCGGAGATGGCGAACCGAGCGATGTCAGCTGAAAGCCGGGCTAACGAGCTGGCCCGCAAGGTAGACGAGCTGAAGGAGGAGCCCGGCCGTGCAGAGGAACGAGCTAGGAAGGCAGAGTCAGAGAGAGAGAAGACCTTGCATGAGCTGAGCACCTTGAGAGAACGGGTGTCCCAAGCCGACCAGCACGTCGCCCGAGTAGAGGCGTCCTTGGAGAGCACTAAGAGGCTTCACCAGCGCGATGTCTGCTTTGCCCATGCACAGGGGGCTGAGTGGCTGGTGGGAGCGGAGATGTTCCAGGACACCATTGCAGTCGCTTCTGCCAACACCACCACGGACATCTTCAACGAGGTTCGTGGGATGGTGCTACAAGTTCGGGCTGATTTTCCAATCGGTGAGTTGGCTTTCTTTGAAGGCGAGGAGATTAACGAAGAAAGAAGGAGCCTTGCCCAGCCAGCTAACACCCGGGTAAGGCTAAGGTGGGAGCTGAACGAGGAGGGGTTGCCCGTGTGGCCCCCGTCTGTGATCGAGGAGGGGGAGGACACGGAGGGGTTGCCAAGTTTTGACCCTTGGGTGGCAAACCCCCATGATGTGCTAGTTGAGCCTTCCAGCACTCCCCCATCTGCTCAGCCTCAGCCCGCACCAGTCGCTGCTTCTGCTCTTTCTCCTGCTCTCCCTCCTCCAGATCAACCATCTCCTGCTCGGTCTACTTTGGAGCCTAACAACGCATCCATCCCCATCGACCTAACGGATGACTAGCTTAGGATTTTTTATTCTCTTTTTGTATTTTTGTGTTAATCAATGAACTCATTTACCATTTGTACTACACATGTAAAAAGTCATTGATGAAATACAAATTCGAATCTTTTGTTTCAAGATTTTTGTGTATATTGCTGTGTACTGTTCTATACATTGCTCTTTACATTTGATTGAGGATAATTTGAATTAAGACAACAACATCAAAATGTTAACTGTAAAACTTTCTAAAGTTGTGTACATTCCAGATGAATGGTAACGGACGACCTTGTACATCTGCTAGTTGGTAACACTCAGGTCGCTTAATATTAATAACCATATAAGGGCCTTCCCACTTAGGAGCGAGCTTGCCCATGTGCGCATAAGTATTAGTTAATCCAGCTTTGCACAAAACCAGATCACCGACCTAAAATTGGTGAGCTCAAACTCTTTTATTATAAAATTTTGCAACACGACTCTAGTGCGCCATGTTTCTTATTCGAGACATTTCCCTAACTTCCTCCACTAGGTCTAATTTCTCTCTCAGTAGCTGCTCGTTGTTAGGATCGTCGTGCAGATCTGCTCTTTTAGACGGTAACCCGATCTCTACTGGGATGACGGCCTCAGCTCTATACACCAAGCTGAATGGGGTTTGGCCCGTAGCCGAGCTAAGCGTAGTGCGGCATGACCAAAGCACTTTATTCAGCTCGTCAACCCAATTACAACGTGAAGCTAAAACACGCACCTTGAGGCCTCGTAAAACAATTTTATTAGCAGACTCAGCTTGTCCGTTTGACTGCGGAGTATACACGGATGTCAGGGCGAGCTCAATGCCATAGTCATTACAAAACGACCTCAGTGCTATTGCTCGGAACTGTGGCCCATTGTCAGCAATGATCCGCTTAGGTATACCAAACCTGTACATAAAGGACCGGGTTGAGCCACAAATTATATTTGCATATATTGTACCAATGACTCAAGTTGTCAAAGAATACCTGCACAGAATTGAATTGAACAAGAATTCCTCGATTTTCTTTTCTGTTGTCGTGGATAACGGTTTAGCTTCTATCCATTTGGTGAAGTAATCCACCGCGACAACAAGGTAAATGCATCCTCCTTTGCCTTTCACAAAAGGGCCGAGCAGGTCGACTCCCCATTGAGTGAAAGGCCAAGGAGATGAGAGTGATGAGAGCATTTCTCCTGTTTCAATGAAGAATTTTATGCTCAGTTAATAGACAAACATGGAGTTTGTATGAACTTCAGAATGAGCTCAGATACTTGGCATGTGAATTTCATCAGCATTGAACTGGTAGGTCGGGCACTTTTTAACATAGCTCTGTGCGTTTTTAACCATAGTAGGCCAATAGTACCCATGCCTCAGGAGTTTCCGAGCTAAAGTCTTACCACCTATGTTTGTGCCACATACTCCTTCATGAACTTCTCTGACAACGTATTCAACTTCATAAGGAGTAAGGCAGCGTAATAGGGGCATTGAGGTTGCTCGTTTGTAGAGCTGATTATCTAACAAAGTGAAATGTGCCGCCCTGCGCTTAATCAGCTTTGCAGCGGACGGATCTTCAGGCAGCTCGCCACTTTGCAGATAATTTATTAGTGGGGTTGTCCAGCTCGGTGAAGAGGGATTTGTGCTGAGCAGCTGACACTCAACTGTGAAATCGGTGTAGCTCGGAGCACCAAGTACCTCCATTGTTGTTGACCTATGAGGGTTGGTCTCTTGCGAGGAGGCTAACCTTGATAGCTCGTCAGCTTGTTGGTTATCTGCTCTGGGTATTTTGTCGATCTAGAAGGAAGCAAATCTTGACTTCAATCTATTGACCACAGAGGCATAACGACCAAGCTGGGGATCCCTAATTTCACAGTTGTCATTCACCTGGCCCACGACGAGTTGAGAGTCGCTAAAAACCTGAATTCTATCTATCTTCAGCTCGGACGCTAGCTTCAACCCATAAATGAGGGCTTCATATTCTGCAGCATTATTAGTCGTTTGAAACTTGAATTTCAGTGCGTGTTTGGATTTAAAACCATACGGGCCCACTAACACAGCCCCGGCACCCGACCCTTCCACATTAGTAGCTTCATCAACATACAAAACCCAGACAGGGTGTTCGAGTGCCTTCTCTTCCACAGTTGCCATTGTACACTCCACTAGGAAGTTTGCCACCGCCTGGCCCTTGATGGTTGTGCGCGGCTGAAATTTGAAGTCATACTCGCTCAGCTCGATGCTCCACCCGATAAGCTGACCAGAGAGTTCTGGTTTTTGCAATATCTTCCTCAACGGCAAATCAGTATAAACAACAATTTGATGAGATTGAAAGTAAGCTCTTAGCTTACGCACTGTGCAGACCAAAGCAAAAGCAGCCTTTTCGACTAGGGGGTAATTTTGTTCGGCACCTTGTAAAACCTTGCTCACGTAGCAGATTGGCTTTTGGTTCTTATTTTCTTCCCTGAGTAGGACCGAGCTCACCGTCTCTTTTGTAACCCCCAGGTATAGATACAAACTCTCCCCTTCCACAGGTTTAGACAACAGGGATGCTAATGCAAGATAGTGTTTGACATTCATCCGTCCACTGAAAGTTTTTGGGCTCTCTCAGGGCTTTGAAGAAGGGGAGCCATCTTTCTGCCGACCTGGCTATGAATCTATGCAGTGTAGTGACACGGCCCGTCAAACGCTGCACATCTTTGATAGTCTTGGGTGGCTCCATCTGCTGAATGGCCTGAACCTTCTTTGGGTTTACTTCAATTCCTTTCTTGGATACCACGTACCCTAGGAATTTTCTTGACTCCACAGCAAATGTGCATTTAAGGGGATTTAGCTTCATTTGGGCTCGGCGCAAGTTTTGAAAGGTTTCACTCAAGTCGCCTATGTGATCTTCAGCTCGTACACTGGTGACTATCATGTCATCCACATATACTTCTATGTTTCTGTCGATCTAGAGCTTAAAGATGATTTGCACCAATTTCTGATATGTTGCACCAGCATTTTTCAGGCCAAAAGGCATCATCACATAGCAATAGATTGCGTCACCAGTGTAGAAAGCTGTTTTTTCCTGGTCGTTTAACAACAGCTGGACCTGGTGATAACCCGAACTGGCATCAAGAAAGCTCATCCGTTCGTGTTCGGCTGCTCGCTCTATTAGCTTCTCGACATTTGGTAAGGGATGAGGGTCTTTTGGACACGCATCATTTAGATTGGTGAAGTCGATACACATCCTCCACTTACCACTTGGTTTCTTTACGAGCACAGGGTTGGACACCCATTCAAAGTACTCCACTCTTCTGATGAAACCTGCCTATAGCAGCTTTTGTATCTCTTCATCTATGGCAGCTTGCTTCTCAGGGCCAAAAAGGCGGCATTTTTGAATCACTAACCTTCTGGTGGGGTCCGTGCTGAGCTTGTGAACTGTCAACTCCACTGGGATGCCATGCATTTCGTCCGTAGTCCACGCAAACACGTCTTGATTGACACGCAAAAATTCCAAAAGCTCTACTCGTTCTTCTTCTGTGAGTTTGGTGTCGATCTTGACTGTTCTTTCCGGCACATCAGGGTTTAAAGGAACTGTTTCTACCGGCTTTACCGGCTTTGCTTTCTGCTCGACACCCTCAGGTCTATGCTCGATGTCCAATATGCTCATTATCTACTGGCTAGGCTAATTTGGCCTACTACTTTCAGAGCCTCTCGGGGCTACAGCGAGCTCAACCCTCTTAAATGTATCTTGATAACATGCCCTAGCCATCTTTTGATTCCCCTTTAGCACTCCTACCCCCTGGGTGTTGGGAATTTCATGCAGAGATGGGGCTGTGAGATAATAGCCTTCAGCTCACACAAAGTAGCCCTTCCTAATATGACGTTGAAGGCTGACTCCATTTTGACGACTAGGAAGCTAACTGAAGCCATCCTAAAGCGTGGTTGTGAACTCACATAAATGGGAAGTGTGATTATTCCCTCCACTGGAACGGGTTGATTATTAAACCCATAAATAGGCCCTTCATATTTTTCCTTCATATTTTTGTAACAAGCTGGGGTTTAGCTGCATCTTTTGGAAACAGCTCCAATACAGGATATCGAGCGAGCTGCCAGTGTCAATGAAGACCGTATTAACGTTATGATTGCCTATATGGACTGTTGTTACAAAAGGATCGGCATGAGGCATCACGACGTCGAGCTCTCCTGCTCGCTGGTAATCTGCCGAGCTGAACGTAATAGTCGCATTTTCCCACTCCGCTTCTTTAAATGGGCGCTTAAGAGGCCGGTTCTTATTTATTGTCATCACTTGGCGAGCGTACGCCTTGCGGCCTCAGGCGCTTTGACCCCCTGCATGCATACCACCAGAGATCATATTGATTGTGCCAGATGGCGGGGGTATTCCACCATACCCAACCCCTCTGTGGTCCTTTTGGTTCTGTGTAGGTGCTTTCTGCCCTTGCCCACGCCTATTGAACGGGCGTCGCTTGTATGATCTGTTCAACTCAGATGAGTACAGACCTGCCTGGTAAGAATTTGGATTGCCACTGAGCTGATATTCAGGTGCTTGAGATCGGCCATACTCTTGTACAAAGTGAGTCTGGGTGGGTTGCTGAACAAAAGGCTTCTGCACGTACCCCTCCAATTTTCCATTGCAAGCCAAGAATTCGAGCTCGTCCTTCAGACTCTGACAGTCTTCTGTGTTATGGCCGTAGACACGATGATAGTCGCAGTATTTGCTTCTGTCAGCTCGTGAAGAATCATGTGTTTGTGGGGGGGGTCTCTTGACCCAATGCTATATCTGCGCCAATATCTAGGATCGTGACGAGCTCAGGGGGATGTAGCTATCATATTTTGGATAGGAAGGTGGTTTCCCTCTCTGCTCGCCAACCTTCTGTTTCTTTTTGTCATCTCTATTTTCAGGCTGCTTGGACTCTTTTCCTTGCTTATCATCAGCTCGTCTCTTAGAAGATTGAAAATCTTCGGATAATATGAAGCTTACCGACCTGTCATTTACTTCATTCCACGACTTAGGTGGATTCTCCAACAGGTGGTCCAGAAACCGGCCAGGCTTCAAACCATGCAACAGGGTAGATAAGCAAATGGTATCGGGGACGTTATCAATGTCCAAAGTAGCTTTGTTGAATCGTTGCATGTAGTCCCTCAAAGATTCTCCCTCTTTCTGATGAACCTACATTAGTTCGGTCGCTGTACGTTTAATCTCCCTTTGGCTCGCAAATTTATTAGAGAATAGCTTGGCGAGCTGGGAGTACGAGTCTATAGAGTGTCTGGGGAGTTTATGATACCATCTCCTGGCCGTCGACTTTAGTGTCGCTGGGAACACTTTGCACATCATGGCATCATTGGCATTTTGGATCCTCATGATGGCCTGATAGGTATGCAGGTGCTCGTTTGGGTCACCCGAGCCATCATACGTCTCTAGATGGGGAATTTTGAACTCCTCTTGATATGGTTCCGCTGTGATGGATAGGTTCAGTGGGGCGCTATCCAAATCAAGAGTTTGCTGATGCGACCTGGGACTTTTCAGCACGTCGATGGATTTTTGTACATCTCGTAGCGGCCTCTCTAGGTTTGCATTCTTTCTCATCAGCTCTTCATTGTGTCTGGACGAGCTGGGCTCGTTATTTAGTCTCCTACTTCCCCTTGGCTTGGTTGGCACTACTATGTTGCTTAGAGCGGGGGAGTTTCGAGTTGCAACAACCGTAGCCGGTTGTGCATCCCTGTTCAACAAAGGAATCAGGGGGTCATTAGGAATCAGACGGGCAAGGATTTTACCCATTGCCATTTCGAGAACTCTGGTTCTCTCTTCAAGCTTGGTCGTCCGAGCAGGTTCTGTTGACCTTTCAGGTCGTTCGTGCTGTGAATTGTTTTGCCTGGGTTGTCTTTGTCTCGTTCCTGTTGGGACTTGGAAGTGTTCGGGCTGAGTTGCATACCCTGTTGGTGTTCTTTCATCATCATCCGTTTCAATTAAGTGATCCTGTTCCGCTCCCCTGACGAAAAGGTTCCTAGGCATTGGCCTAAAGTCATTCAAGCCGGGCTCAGATACTTGGGCATCCTCCTGTTCGTCCACTTCATTTCTCGGAGGGTGACCTCTTGTAAAAGTACGAACCATTTTCTATTTCAGCGGGTTAAGCTCCACAACTTCTCGTTTGAGTTCCCACAGACGGTGCCAAATGTTTGGGCAGCTTCACGATCCAACACTGTTGAAGTCCTTAGCTGCTTCTACACCTGGAAATCCCGAGGAAACACCCGAGGTTGTTTCCTCGGGGAAAACACTCCAACGCTCAAGTCAGCAATACTCAATATTCTAGAGAGAGATGCTCTCAAGGAGTAATTGCGGAGAGAGAAGCGTAGGGGTTAATTACCTTCATCGGAGGTAGTTGGGGGGTATTTATAGCCCCAAGTGCTGACATGCATCTGTACATGTAAGCATCTGTACATGTAAGCATCTCATTGGCCCACGTGGTGCTGGTCACGTGGGTATGCTTGCCTTAGTGTTCCCTCAACTTGGGTTAGTGGGCGGTAGCCTAGGCTTGTTATGCACAGCCTTGTTTGGATGTTGGACCTATGTTGGGCCTATTCCAACAGAAGCCATTCAGGATGGTTCTAAACATGTTCCAAAGAACTCCACTGATGATATGGACATATATACTGGCATATATATCAGATTGAAAACCAATCAAGCAGCCACCACCAATACTCTCATCTACAGATTTTTGCAAATGAAGATAAGAAAGGGAGGAAAATCTGATGCTTCACTTTTGTATAATTGGCACCTTAAAGAGGAAGGGCGAGGAAAAACACTAGAGGGGAGCATAAGATGATTTAGAAATGGAAGAAACAAGCAAGGAACAAAAGAGAAGCATTAAAGAAGGACAAAGACAAGTTAGAGAAAAATTTGAAGCCAACTAAACATGAATATAGGTTTCGCCAGTCATCTGTCTTCATGTTCAATGGGCTTCAAATTTTTCTCTAACTTGTCTTTGTCCTTCTCTGATGCTTCTCTTCTTGATCGCTTGTTTCTTCCATTTCTCTAATCATCTTATGCCCCCCTCTGGTTTTTTTCCTTGTTCTTAGTCTCTAGGGTGCAAATTATAGGGTTCCGTGTAAGGAAAGAACATTAGACAAAATTTCTTCTAATCTTTCATTCGGAAACCCCCCCAATCCCCCCCTAACAAGGTATGAAGGCTTGAATCAGAGAAGGATTTCTTCATTGTCTTATTACTAAATGGAGCAGTACAATTTATACATTACAGAATCTAATCCAACTAGGAAACACTATTTACAATTACAGTTCCAAATCTTTTACAATTGCAGTTCCGAGATCTTCTAAATCTGGGATTTCATGGAGACTATCCAGGACTTCATGGAGGGGATTTACTTTCCTTAATACGCCTCCGCAAGATGGTGGTGCCATTTGTAACTCTGATCTTGGACCGTAAGTGAGAAAACCGGATGGAAGAGAGGGGCTTTGTGAACGCATCAGCAAGCTGATCCTGGGACGCAATGTGGGAGACATGAAGAACACGTTGATCAACTAAATCCCGAATAAAATGCAAGTCTATAGCTATGTGCTTCATGCGCGAGTGCATAACAGGATTTAAGCTAAGATAGGTGGCGCCAATGTTGTCACAAAAGATGGCGGAAGAAGGGGAGTAAAAGATCCCAAGTTCACCAAGCAAATGTCGAATCCAGACAACTTCAGAGGCTGTAGCAGCGAGAGCACGATATTCAGCCTCGGTGGAGCTTCGAGCAACAGCTTTTTGCTTTGTAGCTCGCCAAGAGATCGGATTCTGACCAAGAAAAACTATATACCCAGTGGTGCTAACCATTGTATCTCGATCGCTAGCCCAGTCCGCATCTCAATAAGCATGCAAGTTGAGAAAAGATTGAGGCCGAAGAAGCAACCCGTGAAACAGAGTACCGCGCAAGTACCGCAGAAGTCGTTTTGCTGCCTACCAATGCAGCTCTATGGGTCGATGCATAAACTAAGCTAATTTGTTGACAGCAAATGACAAGTCAGGTCGAGTGAGAGTGAGGTACTGGAGGGAACCAATAAGACGCCGGTAATCGGAACCATCTGAAAGAGCAGTGCCAGAGAGGAGCTACAGATCAGTATTAGTAGCAAGTGGCGTGGCAACCGGCTTAGCCTCATGCATCCGAAAACGATGGAGGAGATCATTAACATACTTGTGTTGAGAGAGGAAGAGTCCTGCATTGGTGGGAACTGCTTCAATGCCAAGAAAATAGCTAAGAGTACCCAAATCTTTAATGGAGAATCTGGTACTCATGCAATTTATCAGAGAAGACACAACAGAGGGATCACTACCAGTAATGAGGATGTCATCCACATAAACAAGGAAATAAATCCAGGTCGAATTCCGATGATAAACAAACAAAGAGGAATCGGAGCGAGAATGGGAGAAACCTTGAGAGATAATAAACTGCTTGAGTTCCTGAAACCACGCCTGTGGAGCCTGTTTTAACCCATAAATAGATTTCCGCAACCGGCACACGTGATGAGGAAGAGCAGGATCAACAAAACCAACTGGTTGTGCCATGAACAATTTTTCCTCAAGATGCCCATGCAAAAAGGCATTGTTGACATCCAATTGACGAATAGGCCAATTCCTGCTAACAGCAATAGACAACACAGTACAAATGGTAGTTGGCTTAATCACCAGACTAAAAGTATTAGAGTAATCCGAACCTGGACGTTGATGAAAGCCTTTGGCAACAAGGTGTGCTTTGTAGCGTTCAATGCTACCATCTTTGGCTCGTTTAATACGAAACACCCACTTACAACCAATAAGGTGTTGATCAGGAGTAGAAAGAACTAATTCCCAGGTTCGTTGACGAACCAAAGCACTAAATTCCTCAGACATAGCCTTCCACCATTGGGATATTTCAGTGCTTGAGTCACACAAGTGGGTTCACAAATGGGAATAGGATAGGTGGAGACGGCTTGGTGGATGAATTTAGGCTTAAAGATGTTGTTTTGAGAACGGGTAAGCATGGGGTGAGTTCGAATGGGCTCCGGAGGTGGCAATGGTTGAGGTTGGGGAATGGGCTCAATGATAGGCTCAAGGGAGTGTGGAGGGAGAGGTGGGGAAGCGATGGAGGTGGGGGAGTGTGGCTGCTGGGATTCGGGTGGAGGAGCAGAGGCTGGGCGAGTTGGTGAGGTAAAGGGAGGTTGGGAGGTGCGGACTGTTGCAGAAGGTACAGCTTCGTGAACCAAAGATTCATGAGGAGCCACAGCGGAGACAGTAGGTGGTGATGGCAGATCGTCTAGGCTATCCAATGTGAAATCAAGTTGTTGAAGACACGAGTGTTTAAAAGGTGCAGGAAAGGTGTGCTCTTGAAAAATAACATGCCGAGAATAAAACACCTTTTTTGTAGAAAGATCAAGGCATTTGTAACTCAAATTCTCGGAGGAGTATCCAACAAATAAACAAGGGCGAGAGCGGTATTGAAGCTTGTTGGAGTGATAGGGTCGGAGCCATGGAAAACAAAGACAACCAAAAACCCGAAATTTATGATAATTTGACTTAAGACGAAACAATGTTTCAAAAGGAGATTTATGTGCAATGGCTTGAGAAGGGAGTCTGTTAATGAGGTAAGTGGCTGTGAGAAACGCAAATGACCAAAAACTAGAAGGAAGAGAGGCAGTGTGCATTAGAGCAAGGCCAGATTCGACTATATGTCGATTCCGACGCTCGCTAATGCCATTAAGTTCAGGAGTGTATGGTGGGGTAGTAAAATGTGAGATGCCATGTTGAGATAAAAAATGACGAAGAGCCACATATTCGCCCCCACCATCAGTATGGAGGTTCTTGATTTTTTTATCAAATTGATTTTCAACCAATAATTTAAATTTTTGGAAAATCGAAAAGACATCAGATTTGCGTTTGAGTGGGTAAAGCCAAATATATCGACTAAAATGATCAATAAACAATACATAATAATTAAAACCATCAATTGAAGTAACAGGAGCAGGGCCCCACACATCGGAAAAGACATGTTCAAGTGGTGTAGTACTGGTGATGGATGACTCAGAAAAAGGCAATTTATGGCTCTTAGAGCATGAGCAAGAATCACATGAAGAAAAATTGATTTTATTATATAATGGAAGATTAAAGGAAGTAACAACATTTTTTAGGGTCTTGATGGAAGGACGACCTAGACGAGAATGCCAATTCTACATGGTAGTGCATTCTCCTATGAAGGCATGTGGTTGAGGACTAATTTTTCCTTGAATTTGATAGATCCCATGAATGTTTGGTCCTTGAAGCAGTATCTTCCTCGTGCAAGAGTCCTTCACCAGAAAATAATTATAGTGAAATTCAACATAAACATTAGCAGTTTTGCATAGTTGAGAAACAGAAATTAAATTTCGAGAGGCGGATGGAACACATAAGACATTATGAAGAGGTAAGGAGGACTTTTGTGTGTGTAGGGTGGAGTGACCCACGTGTGTGATTTTCAAACCTGTTCCATCACCAATTTGCAGTTCATCAGGACCATTGTATTCAGAATGAAGTGCTAAGTTGGCCAAGTTTGTTGTAACATGATTATTAGCACCAGAGTCCAGCAAACAATCATCAAGAAAACCATTTGAAGAGGATGCAAAGTTAGCCATTGGGCCAATGGACTGGACCCAAAAACTGGGGCAATTTCGAGCCAAATGTCCAGCATGTCCGCATAATTGGCAAGTGAATCCAATGGGCCGAGTTGGATACCTTGGGCCTTGTCCACGACGTCGATGCTGATTGGGCCTATTGGATTGATTAGAATTTCCCCGTCCGCGGTGTTGTTGGGAATGCCATTGAGATTGTCGACCAGAGGTAGGAAAGGGGCCTGCACTAGAAGAGGTAGATGATGTTAATCCAGCATTAGAAGCAAAGTAAGCTGTTACCGGGGAGGTGTCAATTCGAGCTTCATCGCGACGTAAACTTTCTTCATGGGCCACTAATCTGTCATGTACATCATCAAAAGAAAGAGATGAGTCACGAGTTTGGAGGGATGCAGCAATTTTCCGAAACTCCGGTCCTAGTCCATTGAGTATATAAACAGTGAGATCATCATCAGAAAGTGGATGATCCACGGTGCCAAGCTCGTCTGCCACAGTTTTCAGAGAGCGAAGATACTCAAAGACTGGACGACCATCACGTTTCATGGTTTGGAGCCGTTCCTTGAGGGTTATGACCCATGTGCGAGAGCGATTGGCATAAAGTTTGGCTAAGGTTTCCCAGGCTTGCTGTGCAGTGGCAGCGGCAGCTATGTAAAGAGTGATGTTCTCTGAAACAGAGGTAATTAAGGCATGACGGAGGAGCTAATCCTGGCGTGCCAACAGACTGTAGGTGGGCTCAGTTGCTACAGGACAAGGATGAGATCCGTCAAGGAAACCATCAAGTTCATAGCCTCCAAGAAGCGACACGAACTGAGCTTTCCAAGAGAGATAGTTGTTGGGTGTGAGTTGGACGGGAAAAGCTGCAGAGTTAAAGGAAATTGGATTCCGAGTGATGTTGGGTTCGAGCATGGTTACGGCCGAGTGTTTGGATGCTGCTGAGTTGGGAGTTTCGTCACGAGTAGCCATAGGATCAGAGATCTCGTGAGAGAAGGTATGCTATGATACCACTAACAAGGTATAAAGGCTTGAATCAGAGAAGGATTTCTTCATTGTCTTATTACTGAATGGAGTAGTACAATTTATACATTACAGAATCTAATCCAACTAGGAAACACTATTTACAATTACAGTTCCAAATCTTTTACAATTGCAGTTCCGAGATCTTCTAAATTTGGGATTTCATGGAGACAATCCAGGACTTCATGGAGGGGATTTACTTTCCTTAATACCCCCCCCCCAAAAAAAAGGAAACAAGAATCAATGTAATATTAGATGATAAGAAAATATTGGTGCCTGGCATTGATTACATAAACAATTCAAAATACTGGTTTTTCTTGTCATTTTTAGTGGAAAATCTTAAACAAGAGCTCCAAATTCTAATATAGTTCTCATATATTCTTGTATATATAGTTGGAAAATCATTTTTATTTCCCTTTTGATGGA